TATCCATCGAGATCCATTCCTTGTCTTCTTTCTTCTTCCTTCCTAATACTGTTGCGCAGGTTTCTTTCCACATAGCTTTCAAAGACTTCCAGTGTTCTTCCACACAGGTTTCTTCAGGGATGTTCCTCGATGTCTCCCATTTTGTCTTGATGGCTGACGTGAAGATTTCCTTTGTCGTTTCGTCCTTCAGTTTCCGAGTGTTGTACTTGAACTGTGGTCTATCACCAGCTTCCTTGAAGGCTTTAAACTTGATTTGGAAGGTTCCTTGCACTAGATAGTGGTCTGAACCTACATCTGCTCCTCTTCTTGACCTTGTGTTAAGTAGACTGCGTCTCCATTTTCTTGAGATTGAGATAAAGTCGATTTGATTTTTAGTGTGTCCACCTGGTGAAATCCATATCGCTTTGTGGATATCCTTGTGCTTGAACACACTGCTTCCAATCACCAAATCGTTGAATGCACAGAATTCTGAAAACAATTCTCCATTCTCGTGCATCATCTCACCGAGCGCTTCTCAACCCATGGTTAGTTCCCTTCCTGTGTTGTCTGCTCCCAGTTTGGCATTCATGTCGCCCATCAGAATGAGTTTCGATATCGCCAACTGAGGTCTAGTCCAGTGTTGATTGCAGTTGTCTGTAGAATTCCTCCTTCTTCTCTTGCTCTGCATTATTTGTAGGCGTGTAGGGTAGCATTGGATGATTGTGACCTTCCTTCCTTTTGAGTTGAACCTTGCTGTCATGATCCTGGAGGAGATTGGTTCCCACTGCATGAGAGAGAGCCTTCGATGCTGTTAAGGAACATCATGATAGCCACTCCAAAACTCAGTGTGCTCGTGGTTGTCGTCTGGGTGACAATATCGGAGTAGATTATTGATTCTCCAACTGGCAGTTTGGAGAGTCCACTCCCATTCCATCTGCTTTCGCAAATCCCAAGCACTTTGCTGTGATACCTCTTCATGTCGTTTGCGATCTGGGCTGCCTTGCTGGGTTCAAACATCGTACGGACATTCCATGTCCCCACGTCTACTTTCGCGTTCATCGAGAGAAGACACATCAGCCAAATGTCTTTCCGAAGGCTTTCACCAACTGGCATCATTTCGCCTCTCCGATTCCTGCGAGGAATAAGTTTGGTTTTATTTTTGATTTTCGCCCAGTATATATGATCCTTCAAGTTAAAGCGCTTGGATAATTTAGCCAGCATCGCTTTATTCGGGCAAGAAATTGCTGGGTTTCTTCCTCTTCTTTTTGAGTGATGATTCTGCGTATTCATTAGACATGACTATCATTTCTACTTAAACTTAAAACCAACAAAAATTCCAAATTAAGGTTAAAATGCACTATTTGTATGTGGTGTGAAGTTTTCTTTTTTCTTCAGGCTAAGGATTTCCATTACCTGGAATGAAGAGATGATAAAAACATTTTTGTAAAAGAAAATATCACAGGAAATTTTTCACCACCAACTGTCATAACCGCGTTTGTAAAAATGATATGCATCTGTAAATTCAGGAATAAGTTGTTATTATTATTATAGTCCAGATAGCACGTTTCATCATGCTACAGCTGGTTTTAGCTTCTTTCGGGTGATGACGGTATTCCCACTGAATCTCGAACGCAGCTCCCACTGCTTTAGACACTTAAGCTTTTTCCGCAGGGGCATTGAAGCATGAGGGCAGCAGAGGTCCAGCGATTTGACTCAGTTCGACAGCTGGAAGGTACGAGCATTGACAAATGGCAATTGGTGATCCCCACTGCGTCAGAGGTTGCCTCAGCAACTCGATGGCCTAATGGGTAGTGTCTCTGGCATTTAAAGCGATGAGTAGTCGGCTGTGGTCTTGGTGGGAACATCACCATTCGCTAGGACTCAAGTACATCTAGCTGATGAGTGGAACAAAATGCATGTCCTGCATTTCACTTTCAATCACCACCAAGCAAACTTGATTCACATCCGAGTACGAAAATCCTTGGCATTTCGCGCAACGCTCATCCGTGCGTGACCATAACCGAATTGTCATTTCTTAACTCCTTAAGTTTTGAGATATAAAGTGAACGTGCCAATCATCAGTTTTTGTAATAGAAGGATATTTTAAAGAAAGCCTATTCAGTTGTTTGAGGTTATCAGAATGACTGTCTTGGTTTCCCCACATCAATGTGTCTGTAATACACGAACATCCTTAGTTCGGATCAAGACGCAGATTTCTTTCTGATTGTAAGATTTCAGTTTACCGCTGAGTACGCAAGCTCCATCTTCGCCCCATGTCCACTGGTGAAGAGCTGTCGAAGTTGGGGGCGAATCTAGAGATATAATGTTGTATTGGTTACTCTTTCTTGAATGCTGCCAATCATACCTATGCGGTTTTGAAGCCGAGGTTTCGTGATATCATATCAAGGATAGGAGGTAAGTGGCCTGGTGCCAAGGAGGCTAGCGCGTACGCACGGACAATCTTATACTGTTCTCTGGTCATATTGTCATCTTCCCAACACCGCTGGTCGTTGAAGTATGAAGTTGTAGCGTGGCTTATCTGGTCCCATTAGGTCGCTCGTATCTGCTGATAAAACGGTACTATGTAAAGTCCGTTCGGAACCTCTCGTCAGGTCATTTGACCTAAGATGGCTGATGGGTGATGACAAGCAATATTTCAGTCGATCTGTGTGGCTGTTTTGGGTCAAATGTCTCTCATTTTCGGAGGCCGCGACATCGGTTATTCCCTTGGGCTTGAGACCACCATAGCTCACAGCCTGAGTTTTGTAATCCATCAAAATCCCCTATCTAGAATATATCAACTGGTACCAAGAAGTGGTTAGACTTTAAGGATGAACCAGAGTGGTGCGCAAGAATGCGTTGCCATGCCTTGCGAGGGAAGAACCGTATATCCGACGCTAACTTCCACACCAGAAGCTTTGCAAACTGTCAGAACAGTCATTTGGTCGTGTAGTAATCTCAGCGTTAGTTCCACGCACTAGCTTGCCCAGCTTATCGACCAATCTGTTCTTCCGCTGTCACAGATTTGTGATGAGAATCACTAAGGATGACTGGTTTCACTGTTGGAGGTTCTCATGATACACAGAGCTCGTGAAATCTAGCCTTGTTCTGAGAGCTCTAACCTTCCTTTATAACATTTCAAATTATCATGTGGAATGTTACGCTTATGAAAGGTGAGTTGTGATAGTGAGTGAAACCATTGAAATACCACTGAGATTATTGAATGGAAAAAATCAGCGGTTCCTGATTTTGTGGGTGTCCTCGAGTTTCTCATGAAATACTACCCGAACTTTAGCGAAACACGATGACTTGCGGTGAGTTCGCTATATATCCTGAATTAAAGCAATATAACATTATTTTCCGCTGACAAGGTGAATATTGAACTAAGTATGACATCTTGTGCCATTCACCGTCAACAAAATTACTAGTTTCAGGAATCTGAACGCTGATTACTTTGAGTATTTATGTGGGAAACTTTTCCAAGGCTTGAAACTCGGCAAGCTATTTACTTGATTGACCCTAATTCATTGGCCAGGCTATCCCACTTTTTCTTGTTGCCTATAAAAGAAGGATGGTACACTTCCGAATTAGACCCCTCAAAACAGACGGAAGCAAAGATATTAGCGTCTAGCTCCTATTTCCTTCACGTCTCAAATGGAACACTTTTTTTATACAAGCATTCTTAGTAAGAGAATTGATCACTAAGTAACAGTAGGTAATGAACTGAAGTGCATTCATGATTTTTAGCTGGATACCATATCACGCACCTGGACTTTTTTCTTGGCATCTAAATTCCGTCACTGATCTATTGTGGAAGAAAGCCTGGTGGGCGACATGTCTGTGTGGTGTTTAGATTTCGTGGATTAATATGAGGCTCAACCGAAACTTGTGCGCATGTCTTGCTGGGCAGTAGAAATCAGGACGCCTTATTTAACTCGAGAATATCGCCCTTTTCCTTTGAACACCTAGTGACTGGGATCAGATTGCGGATTGTTCGAGCGCATTGAGTATCATGCGGTAGAAAACGCTCAAACTGAAATGGCATTCAGGTGAAGCAACGGTTGATTTCGTCTCTCAAGATGGTCTTGCTACATATTTGTTACGCAAGAGAGTGTTAAAGGCACGTGCCTCGACACGTCTCCATCTGACCCTTTTTATCACTTTCTGAAATGTAAAGACAATGGTTTGTTCATCGGCCAAAACACACGTGAACATCATAAACGGGGTTTTTGACGGTAGCAATTTCACTGGCACTGTGTTCAAAAAATTCTGATCTACAAAATAATAGGTTTCATTCTGATAAGTATTGCCTTCTCGGTGAATTTTGAAGGTCATCACCGGTTCAAGTATTAATGTAGCTGCTTCGAATTACAGGGCGGCTAGAGGCCGATTGATAATCACTAATAATTGCTGGTTTCTTTCCACCTTCATGTGGGGGTATTGTAAAGTAGCAACGAAAATATTTTGGGTCATCCACAATAGACTAGTAGTGAAGTATCTTCATGACCACATCTGAAATCTTACGTTTTTAGGATTTGTCCTGGTGCGAACTTGACAGACGCAAAGACCAATCACTAATTATTCGAACTTGTTATATACCCACGAATAAGAGACCAAGGAAGAACACGATAGCGTAGTCGGATGGAATAGTATATTTGGATGGTTATGCCAAAATACCGATGCGTTCCAACTAACTGGCTAGAGAGTCGAATACGAGCAATGCAACGTAACACGACAGCGTGCCAAATGGCGAGGATGCTTGACCGGGTGCCTTCAGCTTAGCGGGTCCAGTTAAACTATCAAGGTCAGCATCAATGTCGAAGTCGTCAAACCCTAGGCTATTGATTTTGGGGAAGTGTATGACGCTACACGTTTGATACCTCTTGATTTAAGGACATGCCATAGTTTTGTATGCTTTAAGAACTAAAGTTTTAGTTTGTTTCGCATGCCTTGGTGACTCTAAAAAATTGAAACCTGAAGTTTGTTTTACTCACCCAACATGGGTTAAGACCGGCCCAACCACTAGAGTCTGGTTTCGATTTCTGCCGAGCCATGGTGAAGATTTTTGTTGGTAACCTGAATCCGGAGTCTAAGGCATCTGACCTTCGTAAGAAATTTGAAGCATTTGGCAAAGTTACAGAATGTGATGTGGTGAACAACTATGGTTTTGTCGTAAGTTTAATATATTGAATAATGTCGTAGCACATGGAGAAGGAATCCGAGGCTGAGGCAGCTATAGCAGGTCTTCAAAATGCGATCCTCGATGGAGTCAAGATTAATGTCGAACGTAGTCATGGGAAGCGTGGTGGCGGTCCTGGACCTGCTAGGCGTAGAAATGAAAGTCGTTATCGCGATTACCCTCCTGACAGAGGTGCTCGTGGACCTCCACCTCGGTATATGAATTCCGGCCCACCACCGCCACGGATGGGTCGCTACGGTCCGGCTTGGGACGATGGATATGGTAGTCCATATGGTCCACCACCACGCAGCAGTCCTCGTGGTAAGTCACGGAGATGGTTTAGAGACTTTAGGTTACGACTACCCTTCGAGTGGTGCCAATGGTAGGTATCCGCCACTGGAACGTGCGGAGCCGCCTAGACCATTACCGCGAGGCCCGGCTCGTGATCCCTTACCTCCACCGGCTGGTCCAGGGTATCGTGGGCCTCCACTTCCTGAATCTGTCGCTCCTGCAAGGGATTATCCTCCAAAAGCCGCTCCTCCAAGGTCAAGCTATGATGGGTATGGAGAATATGATCGATATCGAGAACCGGTACCCGCCTCCGGACCTCCACGTGCAAATGACTATTACGATACATACGGAAGCTACAGCAGTGGAAACTACGAGTAAGCACTTGAAAAATTTATTCAACCCCTTCAGTGATTACAGGGAGAGTGACAGAACGTTGTCGAATTATGACTCAGGATATGATTATACCTACTACGATTATAGTATGGACAGCAGATCTCCGGCACCACCAAGATCAGGGTATGTGTCTTAAACATCTTACAGCATTTACGTTGTTTAGGTACACTTATGGTCGTCCATAAACAAGGTGAGTTATCTTTGTTACACTAGCTGAGACCTACTGTTCTCCGTGGAATTGCCTTGTGCAAGCGTACTCGTTTGTGTTAGAGTGACCGTGTCTATCGTTTGTCCGTAGCCTTAGATCTGTGCGTTCACATTGCGCTGAATTTTTCGATGACCTACTTATCTTAAGTTTACCTAACATTTCAGAACCATACCGTGAGGTCGAACGCGAGGCAACTGCGAATCACATAGGCAAGAGGCGTTTGCATTTATTACCCGTTTCCTGTTCATTCGCGTCAACGTTAATTGGCTAGTGTCAGCGGTCTTGCACCCGATCATCCGGTTTCGCGTTTTATAGACGTTAACTTATTCGCTTTCATTCGTGAGTGTGACCTTACTATCCCCGTTTTTATGCGTCGCAAGACTCCGTACGATGTCACCATTTTCCATTTGTCATTTTCCAAATATATGTTGTGCTAGAAATCATTGCTTTTGCGTTAGTGATAGTAAGTCTTCCTGGTCACCAATGCGTGGCCTCGTCATACCCGTGAATCCGCTCGCAAGATCATACTTGTGGTAGGTATTCTAAGCTGGCTTATTTGTGTCGAAGCGTAGCTGGAGTCTTAAGTTAGACAACCTGTGTGGCTCTGACTTAGCAGAAGCACAGATGTCGGTACTCCAACTTGAACACGAAAGACAAGCACATTACTCTGGTAATAACCATGTGGCTCTCAACTCAGTTTCACTGATTCTAGCTTTTGAGGTTGTTACTGTGTCGAACCAGTAAACAGGTTAGTCTGTGGGAGCATCTTCGTGTATCGACATCTCAATTCACTGTGAATGCCCTTTCAGCTCAGGAAGTAACCAGAAATGTTCTGTACTTTGTGTAAGTGCTGGGATACCTAGTGGTGTACATTAGTACTCAGCGTTATGAAACTGGCTGTTTGCCTTAATGATGATGGCAATGGTCTTGGTACACTCTCGCTCGTTCAAACTGATGCTTTTTAGGCAAGTAACCAGCCATTGCGTTGCGGGGACTGGGAATCACGCCTTCATGAAGGCAGCGGTATGGAGAGCTGGTCGGTTCTCCGTATCTCCAATTACAAGGTCGGATATGTCCATACTTTTCGCTATTCCTGTAGTATGACTCCAGTGTTACGAGGGTATGTCGAAGATTTGACGTCTTTTCGAAGTGTCGTTAACTTCTGCCAAGGTTTTCATTATAAAATTGTCACCACTATATTTGCCTGCCACGGTAAGTTTTTGGACTAAACTTCATCTATGTAATTATGGACTTTCCGTTGTTATTTTGGCATGTCTGTGCATCATAATGTAAACTTGTACTGTCTTCGTAGTTAGGGGACCTCGGACGCTGCTCCTTTCCAGCAGATGTAATCCTACCAGCAGCTGCTACATTGACGTGGTAGTTGGGGCTGCATATCACTATAACCCAACGAAGTCCATTGGACGCTTGTCACATTGAGGTCCTGTCATACAAGGGCGGTCTGTTGGCTGGTGGTAAGACGAAAAGCAGTTGCTACACTATGATGAGGGTCAATAGACGTACTGCTGGCTGGATCGCGTGTGACAACACCGTTTCTCATGGATGTCCAGCAGCGCCATGCTGATGGCACTTTCTCAAACGGCAGAATTGGTTGCTATCCAATCAGACAAATAAGCTTCAAAACAACATCCCGCTAAAGGCCGCGTGTGACAACCCATGCAAATGTCTCTTGGGTTCTACGGTCAGAAATCCCTCTCGGGTACTTTCACATTGTTGGCTGTCGGGAAGTTTCCGCCGTCCGCACACTTCTAAGAGTGCTTCAAACATAACCCATCCTCCTCAACTCTGTATCCTTTTCGTTCACCTCTTGATACTAATGTCTGGCTTCTTGCCCTTTCCCCAGCCTGTCACTCTGTAATCATTACCAACGGTCAAAGCAATCGAGACATCCTTCTAAGTCTCCTAAGATGCCAGCATCGATATCATGTAGGGGCCTTCAACATATGAACTCTATGCAATTCGAACAGCAAGCATCGCTCGCCAGAATTCTAGAGTCTGTAGCCGTAGATGTTTGTTGTCTTTAAAGCGCGCATACAGGACCTGGGTGTGGTTAATAAATGGACCTCACTTGGCCATAGCAATGAATCTTCACAATTCACCATGCTAACATTCGCAGATACAGCGACTAGCTCTCGTGGACCAGCTGGTGTAGACATAGCATTGTACTTTTGGGACAGAAAGTGCGCTTTCTGACTGAGTATCAGTCAACAGCCGCCTGCGTGTTTGACCGAGTGGGTCTGTAAGAACCAGGAAGGGTCGTCAGACTAATGGGTGCTTTTTCGTAGTCAACGAACCGACAACGGTGATCATCTGTTACAGTTTTCTCTGACAAACATGAGAGGCAGTCTCACATAGCGCCTTCCGACTTCATAGCAACGGTGGACACATCACATTGCGTAGACCATCGTTGTAAAGGACTGTTAGTCTTTCTGAAGTGACTGGACTCCGATCGTTCGCTAGTATGAGTTTGTGTGTACCTGAACCTTACTGGCCGCAGGGAACGATGCAGTGAGGCCTGTCGACACTCGATTGGCTGACGAGGACGTCAAGTACGCTTTTGGAGAGGAGTTAGGTGAGCTATTATCTGAACATAACGGCGGTACTGATTCTGAGGAAACCTGGTGTGATATTACGTCTGATCAAGGCGCCCGAAGGTTAACAAACGTCACTGGATTTCCGCGTCGTCATCCGAGCTGGTTGGCACGAGAAGATTGTCCCAGCGGACGAAAGAGATTCAAACGTAAGTGCGACAAGAGTCTTCGCGTTGATCGTGTGCAGTGGTGGGTGGCGAGAGGGGAAAAGATATGTAGGAGGTATTAGCGCTGGGCAACAACCAGCAACTATCTAAGCTTACTAAGGATACAGGCAAGAAAAAGACTATGGATTATCATACCATCGCCTAAAAGGATGGCACGGTCATAAGGACTCAGGTTAGGCGGGTCAACTGGCCTTCACTTACCCAATATCCAGCCTGAACGTGTAAAGGAAGTAGATATCGATTGTCCAACTCCTTGAAGAGTAGAGTCTTCTTAAAGTTTTGGGAAGAAACCTAAGTACGTTCGGCATGCGTTTTGAACCTATTAGCTGAGGTGCTGCTGCTCGACTGGTCCCAAATTACTCTAAATTTAATGATAGGGAGAGTGAAGTGGTAGAATGTATCAGCCCCTTCGCTTACAATGCGGGTTACATTATCCCTAATAGTCTCGTTGCTGACGGAGTCTCGTCTGGAACGAAGGGGTCCCGTTTGGCATTTGCTTACTTATGATATCTCTGGCACCACAGGGCGAGATATCCGACTTCCTGTTAGAGGACAAGAATACTTTGCTGCAGTCCGTTCCACCTTGCAACATGGCTGTGGCATATGTTCACTAAAAGTAGACGTCAAGCGACTTCAGGTTTGGATCATAGGTGTTTTTGTAGCATTGGTCACTTTTGGTGGGATCACTGTGTGAATGATGGGGTCAGGTGAAGGGTACTGGGCAAGTCGGTTGATATGTTTGTGAATCATCGGCTGAGGTGACTTGAGTAAGTTTTCCCCACGTCGACCCACTACCTACCCTGACGTGACGTGCGAGGAGAGGTTGAAGGACGCTTCTGGGTGGTCGGAGCAAGATTTGGCACCATCCGATGAAGTCTACTGCTGTTGACCTGAGCCGTGTGTGGGAGTTGTAGACCATCTGGTCGGGGTCCCTGAGACGACAGTAATCAGTGGTTCAGTATTCTTTGTGACACAATTGAAACTCGCCGCGATAGTGCCGGTGTAGTAACTTCTCGACAATCAAAGCTTGAATATTCGCACTAACCTTCGTCTTCAAATTGCTTGTTATCTCACCCAACTTCGTCTATTTTGACATCACCCTTTTTCCATCCACGTGTGCTTTGTATACCACTGCAAAGTGTGGCAACTTGGGCCGATGCACCTGCATTCTTCATTCTGAAAAAGGATCCGTATTCTACGTTGATTTTGTCAGTGGCAGTCAGTAAGCATAGTTTTCTCGTTGTGTCAACTAAACCAGATTGCAGATGCGTTGAACTCAAAGCGGGGACATTCGGTGTCGTTTGTCACAGAATATCGTCGTATTTTAACCAATGACCATACTTTTCTTCAATGGTGGGATTATTGTTTGAAGTGGTACAACAGTTCGCTGGGATTCATTTCAAATAGGAGCATGGATCCTCGTTGGACCCTATTGTTGTTTATCGAACTATGTGAGAGTTTATTTGTAAGCTGAGGTTATCGCTATGTACGTGAGTAGCGTAAATGTATTAGTAAAGAACTCGTGATTACCTTGTCTGTAATGGGCTGCAGACGAAAAGTACTCGAGTATCTGACGATTGTATTTTCGTCAACAGGCTTATCACTCCATACTTGTAGCAAGCGTGACCATAGAACTATGTTTGGTGCCTAAAGTACACTGACAATAAATTCAATGCAGTAAATGCACCTTTATGTCTTGAATAACATGCTTTTTTACCTCCGGATCTTGACTCTCTGGGTCGCTCGACCTCATAAAACCAGCAATGATCCTCCAAAGTGGTCATTAATAGATTCCTTTGAATGCATCGACGCGGTGATAGCTGGTGTCAGTGGTCACTTGATACGAATCTGGCGTTAACGAGTGTTGTCCTAATATTAGAATTTAGCAGATATTGACGTGTACCGAAATTCCACTGACCCCCTTCAAAGCAGCCAATTCTTTCATGCACTCCAAAAGTATCTATAATAATTTAAATATACTTAGGATATCAAGGGGGTGGTGATGTTTACTTGTTAATTTTTTTAGTCGGTTGAGTTTACCTGTATGTGTTCTGTAATCTATTTCAAGCCACCAATATTGCAATCAAAATCCAGAATAATTCATTCATAACTAGGAAAAGATCCATGGTGCTACTGACTGTCAAGTCTTTTGGTGCATGTATTTGCTCCCACTTGAATTTAATTCCTAAGTTATCATAGATAGTGTAAGTAATCTCTACAATGTAACCAGATCATTGTCTGTGACTTCGAAGACTGCAACTGTCGACTAAATCTTCGTGAAGTTGGATTCACTAAAATTCATGTGAATTACGGAGGACGAAGCAGCACAATTTCTTTTCTAATTCCTGTCTTAATATTTACAATATTATGTGACATCTTTTGACGCCTCTGTTACCAATTTTTGTTTTATAAATAATATGATGAATAACATTTCAGATAAGCCATGTTTTGCCGTTTGAGTATGTGCTTTGTGTGTGTAGCTCCTGTAAACTCTTAGGGAGAGATGAAACACTTCCGATCAAGTTGATCTTATGAGTGGTGGAATCCGGATTCGAGAACAGATGTGGAAGACCGCTTTTGTCAATAGGCTTTCCTGTTTCTCATACGTTTTGGAAGCAAGAAGTGATCAACGTGGTCTTGATTATCATCATCAGCTGCAGTGGCATACTGGTCACACTGGTTGCTGATTATTGATTTAAGAAGCTACAATTGCCATGTACATTTATGTCCAAAGTTTTATCTATTTTCTAAATAAATCAGTTTATTGATGTGTATTGCCTTCAAGTTTTTAGAATATATCAAACTGATTTGATTTACAATATATGAGCAGTCTTCATACTGAAAGAGGATCCATAAACACTTCTGTCTCAAAAGGAGCATTCTGAATTTGGCATTAATTAGTCCATCCACATTCTTTTGAATGTTAGAAATCCTACTTTTACCATTGCTGTCACTTCAGTGTCGATCTGATATGGACTGTATATCGTACTTGTGCACCAGTAAGTTCTCTTGAGGTCGCAGGTGTAATACTACTGCTTGTTGCACTGCAGTTATGAACAAATAACTTTAATGGGGTACTACTGTTAATAGTTGTATTTTTTTTGCGTGAAATTATTTCTTTAGTTACTTCCGTTTTACTACATTAACAGCTATGGAGCATACAGTAAACAAGAGCATCAGTAATATTTCGGCAAATCATTAATTAATTAACCTATGTCAGTACCATGTTGCTGAAGTCGTCTGTGTTTGGAGTATTACTGAACAGGTTTAGCTGAATGTTTGGTACATAAGCTGGTAGAGCAATCGTGAGTCGATCTGCCTAAGCCAATAAACCTTTCTATGTTAGAATTCTTGCGGTCAGTACACAAAAACGTGGTTTTCCCCAATAAACTTGTTAGTTACTATTTTTAATGACTGGTAACATCTGCATACTAACTTATGCGTATGTATGTACGCCACTTGGGACTCATTATGAGTCGCTAAGATTTTGCGCCATCCTTGCCACAGCTCACTGGATATACTCCAGGTTCCACATGGGTTGTTGGAAACAGCTTGTAAAACCGCACAACTAATTAATGTTATGCCTAAATCTCAAAAGCCTGTGAGTACTTGACCTGAAGCAGATATCTCTTGGGTTCTGCAACCACGAACTATCCCTTTTTCGAGTACTTCCAGAAGAACTAATCTTCCGCTTTATGGGCGTATGGGGAGTGTCGGCCCCCTTCATAACTCTGTCAGCATAATTACCAGCCTCCTGATATTCTTCCACGTCTCTGTCAACATTGCTGCATCGTCTGTAGTTTGTTCTAGCTCTTGATAAATACTTAAGGTCTTTCAGCAGCATCCTGGATATACTGAGACCGTGCTTGGAGCTCCCAATTCTCACACCCTCTGTCAAATTGTCCGACATGTTTCACCAGCCAAAACTTGCGACTAGAGGCATGAGTGTTTGCGAGACACGCATGTAGGACAGGAGTGCGGTTATTCGCCCGACTAATGTGTAGGATTCACCCTGCAAGTCTCTTGTGATTCTACGACCATTTCGTATGGTCTTATTGATGTAGGTATAACATTAAATTCTTAGACTGAGTCCACTACTCGACTTGATCCCAGTTAACAATCTACTGTGCGCTGTTCGACTGAACGACGCAGTGAGGATGGAAAAGAGTAGTGAGACTCTTTGTGATCTCTGCTCATGCACCCACTGCAACTTGGAAAAGGCGAAGGGTGAGCTCTACCGAAAACTGTCTAGTTTAATACTGGGACCAGATTGTTCAGACGTGGTAGTTGTTGCAGGGGATTTCAATGCCCCAGAAGGTAGTCTAAGGAAGTCACTCAGTATCGCAGCCGAACGAACAGCTATCGGCCGGTAGGGCTGGTCAGATAGTCGTTTATTTCTGGCCAACACGAACTTCACTCGAAGAGAGATATTGTCTGGTGTGTCGTACGCCAGCATCGACTCCATAGTAGACACATTTACCGTATTGCTATAAGCTGTCGTTGGAGAGTGTCAGTGTTAAATCGTCGCTCCTTTTGTTGCAAGTGTTTGGACATCCCCCACATGTACGTGTGAACCTAATTGGACACATGAGAACTACAACAACAAGGCCATCGCAAGTACTGGTCGATGTTGAGAATAAGGCTGCTTTCAGCAGGAAAACAGCTAGGCAGTAATTAGAACAGAATAACACCACTCATCCCGAGGGAGTCTGTTGTACACAGTGTGCAGAGACCATGGCTGACTCAGTGTGTAGTATAAAAGAGCTGATAGATTTTAGCAGCTTCTGAATTATTGGGCGCACGTGAAAGTATCCCAGCGGTCTCCAAACACTAAGGAGCCGAAGCAACTCAAATGTAGGCTGACAAAAAGTCAACGCAATGACTGTGGGACAGCGGAAGCAAGAAAGATGGGGAAGACGGTGGCGATAGATAGTAGCAGATAGATTTAGACTTGTCATGGAGGTTGGGGCGAGATCAGTGGCCAATGAGAAGGGTCTGTGATTCACTCACAGGGAAGATAAGTGGAACGGAGCAGTTCAGCTGGCTTCCAGCTACTGTTCCATGGAGAATCGGTTCAGGTGGCTGGCTTCCAACCTATGGGCCACGAGTTCACCTACCGAAGGTTGGATGGTCAGGTAGTTTAATAAACCCTAACGCAGACGTGGCTGATAACTTATGCACTGTTCCGTTATGCGCTATCCAGTCGGATTTCGAATGCAACAGAATGGGGCTCCAACTCTTCCTGAATTTTCGAAGGCTGTAAGTAAATTGATACGAGTAACAGTAGTAGAGCCAGACGGATTAGTAGTGGTGATGTTTAAGGAGGGTGGTCAAGGATTACTAGTCAGGTTAACTGAAGTGTTAGCTAGTGTATGGAAGTCGGGTATGATGCCTTCTGACTGATCACAACCACTGATTGTTCAAATCTTTAAGAAAGGTGAGAAGTCCTCATGTGACAAATACAGGGGAACCGGTCTCACCAAAATAGTGTCTAAGATTCTAGGTCAAGTTATCATTTGACGTCTAGGCGGAGCCCGGAAACAACAAACTCGAGAAAATCAGACACGTTTCACACCCAGCCACGGTTAGATCATTCTCCACCATGTTCTGAAACAGGTGCACTTACTAATATCAGCTGTATACGTTAGCCTGATAGTGGCATTCAACTCGGTCGACAGTGTTTCTTTATGGGAGTGCTGAGTAAGTACATACCCATATTGAAGGCTCTGTACTTGAACACCAGTTGGCATTAAAGCCTAGGGTTAGTTGTGTATGTCGACTGTCATCTATCAAGAATGTTCACGCTCCATTCTTATTCAACTATACCAAAGACGTACTTATAGAGGTCTCCATCTTATCACAAGACAACTGGAGTGCGCAGATGACAGTCTTGTTAGGTGAAGATGCTGACAAGATGCAGTCTTCTGGACACCTTAAGCGATAAATTGGTAGTTTCTACATGCGTTCCTCACCACTTAAATGCAAATGACTGCATAGAGGATTGGTGTTTAGTGGTGCCCTGAAGCAGTTGAGCGCTTTGACTACTTCACTGACGTCGGAAGTTGGGTTGTCTCTGATGGGATACTGACAGATAAAATCTCGCACATACAAAAAGCTCGGTTGGCTTTCACAAACGTAACGCTGCCGTGATATTCAGTTGTCTGTTAACGATCCAGTTTATCGTGATGCAGTTCGCTCTGTCCTACTATATGGTTGTGAAACATTGCTGTTAGTGCTAGAGGACATGAGAAGGCTTACGGTGTTTGACCACCGTTGCCCTCTTGGTATAGGCCATATGTCATGGTGTCACCATATTAGTAATGCAGATGTCATCCGTAGCGTTATCGGAAGAAGAGGAAAATCAGTCGCTGAGGTTGTTAACCTTGGTCGGCTCAGGTGGCTGGAATATATGTTGTACATTCAGTCATCATACTGGATATCAGTATTCTGTCATTCCTCCTAGCCCTTCTTTGATGATTTTCTACCACTCGACTGCTTTATTTGATGCTGTGAGGTCCTTCAACTTCAATCGTCATGCAGTGGTGCCAGGTCCTACGTCCATTTGTGTCTGTGAGGTATTATTCATTAAAAATCTCATCAAGTGTGACTAAATTTATGTACTAACAAATCTGTTAACTTTGTCGGTAACCGATGAGCCACGTTTCTTTCCGTACACGCATGCTTCCACACTTGTCCAAAAATAATAGTGATAATCACTTTATTCTAGACAATAGTTTTTAATTCTAGGTGTGATATTTACAAATTTATTCATTGTACAGTATTTTCAAAATCAATAAACATCGCAGTTAAATAATATTTATAATAGCAGTGTGATAAGCAATAATACGCAACTACCAATTGTTTGTAGGTTATCGTCTAGTTTGTGGGTATGTTGTTGCAAAGGACGAATAAAAAAGCATCGGAAGGTTTGATAATGGGGGATTATTCAGCCAGCATAAAAATTTGCAATCTTTGCTAACCGTCCTTGTCACACCTATGTGATGAACTGTCGGGAACTCAAGAGCAAAGTGTCATCTACCGCGATATTTTTTACACTTTTATTGTTAATTTGTGTAACGACGAATTAGAGACACTTTGAGAATACACGAGAGTACATCTTACGATGAGTTAACAGTTGAATAATTCAAACAAATACGAAAGCAGAAATATGTGGCTCAATGGTAACGCGCTGGCCGCGGAACCTGAAGGTCGCGGGTTCGGTCCCTGCTGGTGGGGTCGTGGGTGCGCACTGCTGAGGAGTCCCATACTAGGACGAAACAGCTGTCCAGTGCCTTCAGGCTTCCTTTGTTCCTCCAAGTGATGTCAGTCTACGATGAATAGCAACTTGAAATATTTCCAAATCTCCACAACCCCCTCAAAATATTTGAAAAAGTTTATACTCTTTTTTGTGACATATATTGAGATAGTAAGGAAATAATCAAATATTATTCTAGAACACAAGCATGCTTACACAACATCTTGCATGGATATCCGTTATTATTGTAAAATAAGTTGGTAGCGTGATCCAGGTGGTCGAGTGGAATTTGAACGTAGACAGTTAAATGACAATACTGAGCGAAATATTTTTTGTTTTGAATTTCATATGAATAACGACTTCTCTTTCCAATCCCTTATACCTCATTGAGCTGACCTGTGTCTCCGAAATTGACCTTTATTAGGTAAAAATATGTCAAATATATTAGCTGTTCTCACATGTATTAAATGTAGGCTAAGGAATGACTAAATAACTTATTCTCATTGGTTCATTGAAAACCAGTCCCATAATGAAGCAGTATACATCGAAAACTAAAGCTTGGAGACTTCGTCCTCTTCTGTCAGTGGTTCGATATGTTGATTTCTGTTTCTGGACACTTCTTGTACCCTCTTATAGTAAAAGGTATATGACTTCCCTCTGGGATTTGGTTGGAAGGTCTTCGATCTTCTTTGGTGGTTCACTGATTTTCTTACTGGAATTGGCTGTAGTTGGTCTACTTCTGCCCTGCGCACTTGAGTATATCAAAGGTATCTCAAAAATTATAGAATCAGTTCCTTCTACTTGTTTTTCTTTGACATGTTGCATTTCAGCTGTGAACATACGATCCCAAATACCTTCATATTTTCTTGGCGTTCGAAACATTGCTGATCCAGCAGTGTCAGTATCGTTTACTTTAAACACTTGACATTTCACCCTATGATGGCGTTTAGAATGATCTTATACTTTCATGTTACCCTGCTATTTGCCTATTTGTTTAGGTTTAATTGTATCTTAGGCTTACTTGACTTTTTGACCGGACATTATTTCTGCTGAAAGTTGTTAGTTTACGGTTGGTGGATTCGGTATTGAATGGTGAAGGAGCAAAAGCTTATGCAAAATTACTACAGTTGTTCCCCCCTTCATCTTCGTCCCGACTCACCTGAATGTAACAACAAATTGTTCTACTTAATCATTTGACTGAGATATGGAGAGGTATATACGCTGAATGCTGGAGTGACTAAGAAAATCTGAAAATATACATGAGGAGAAGTGAGTACTACTATCAGAAACGAGAACATCAAGAAAAGCAAAGTGATAACTATTGTAATGGATATGATAGATTTCACAGTAAAAGCCTCCTGCTGTTCAGAATAAGCATTAACACACACCAAGAAAACCATGCTATGAATCAGTCCAGTAATATAGAGATGAACTAGAAACGATGTTTTGGTTAGTAGCAGTCAAGAACACAGTTTTTCTTTCTTGAAATTCTCTTATTAATGTTTGGCCAGAACACAAATGAGAGATAGTGTATGTGTTTTTATTAATGCGTGAAGCTGTAGAAGAACGTAGCTGTAAAAGTAAGTAGCAACTACCACACAAAATGGATGAGGATCAATGTCGATGATAAGACTATTTTGCCTTCTGGAAGTGAATACGTTGGGGCTAACTACGTCGAATGAACTTTAGAACTTGCTGCGAAACCGGATCACAAGCAGTATGGTCAGGACATGACCAGCAGCTGGTGGACGCATTTCATTTACACTCATTGAAGTTCTAATGACATCATTTTCAACGCAGATTGATGCAATGAAAGCGTCTTAATTCCTTAATTTATGACTGCTAAGTAGAAGTGATTTTATGCATCCTCGTGACCGAATTCGGAATCTGGTTTTTACTTTAAGTTGAAGTCATACCTCATGACATTTTCAACCCATTGTGTCCCTCTTCATTTACAAAAAGATGCAGAGTGATAAGTTTAAGAAATGTTGAAAGATGAAATGAAAAATTTAGCAGCCTAAACATTACATGCACGCTCTTAGTCGAACAGAAAATATTGTTTTTTTGGGGGGTCTCAGAAAGCTAAATGGCTACACCGAAATGAGATCATCTGCATTCCTAACTATGGCTAAGACACTAGACCATCCATAGAAAGTCGTATTGTTTACACTATTAGGACGATGACTAGACTTCTGGTAACTCCTGATAGAAAAAGATGATCAAGAGAAAACAGAATTCATTATGGAATAAAGACAATGCTAATTGAAAGGAACACACTTAGGTCTTGCAAATGTACCATTTATTCTTAGACAATTATTGATGTTATTGATTAAGAAATTAAGCAATGTAAATGTGTACAGAATTTACCTCGTGGTGTTGACCATCAGGAAGGCTGCGATTTCAAACTCGTAAAAGAAGAGAAGCCACTTGCAGACGGTTTGTTATAAACTCCAGTGAGACAGTAACTCCGTTTTATAAATCATGAAGAGATCGTAATTCTGTGTAGACCCAGGAGTCACATATGACATTCTACCAAATTAAGGAGCTGCAAAATGACCAAAAACAATCTTCAGATTACCAGTGTCTAGCGAAACAATCATCATTTTCACTTATGCTAGTGGTTAGGGAATAGATGTCATCCTACAAAAGATCGAAACAGTAGTTGAGTATGCCATCCGAGTAATGACACTTGCAGATCAGAATCAGTCAACAGTTGAAAAAGATTATTTGAAAGTTATTTAGGGATTACACGCATGAAGATCATATCATATTAAGGCTGACTAAAAGTTCTAACATTGGTTGCAGACAGTGGAACTCCCTCATTGGAAACTATCACCATGGGTGTTAAGCTTTCAGGAGCATGATTTTATGATGGATGGCATAGGCGAAAGGAAGAATATAGTGATGGATTATTTGTAAAGCAAGACCTTAGGAAGCAGTTGAAGGGCAGGAGACTTTGTGACGAATCACCATAGTAGGACAGTGAGCAATTAAAGTGGTTCGCTTCAGAAATCACATTCGACCGTTAAAGCAGTAGTTCAAGAGATGGGTGGAAAATTTGATGGTGATGAAGCTGCAGCAAATACAAATTTAATCGCTCTTTTTATACAAAAAGACAAACTAAGAGTGTATTCTTATGGTACTGGGGATTGGCGAGAGGATTGTGGAGGTTATGCTACTGTAATCCCTAAATAACGCACATGATACGAGTTAATTCACAAATACCACCAAATAATACATACAGCAACTATGAGGACGATGAACATCTTGCGGTAAAATGCATATTAGTTAGAAAGAGGAGAATAAAATTGAGCAGTTTATAACCCTTGTAGTCACATTTACCTATGTAAGAGTTTGAAAAAATTTAACTGGAACTAAGTACACAAGATTCTTGTAATATGCATCATTCACTCACAGTCAATCGTTAAAATGTCTATAATATTTCAAAGTCCAATACAATGTGACTCTACTGAATGTTTAACTAGTCAAGAAAATCTAGTGTAAATTTCAACAGATGCTAAGTGAAGAATAAAGTTGTAACAGAATGCTTGTAGAACTTCGCCTGGTTAACTAGTTCACTAGTTACTAACCCGTCCTAAGCCCGGGTAAAGAGGGAAGGTTGGACATAGGGCTAGCAAAAAATCCAACCGCTACAAAAATTTCAAAGCACAGACAAAATATAAAACATAAAAACAAACTTATTCCTAGCTGGAATTGGAGAGACGAAATGACGCCGGTTGGTGAAAGTCTTCGGGAAGCCGATCGGCCGGTGTGTCTTCTCTCGATGAAAGCGAAAGTAAGGATGGGGAAATGGAATGTTCGCACTACGTTTGAACCTAGCAAGGCTACCCAGGTTGTAAAGGAGGTGAGAAGGTATAGCAATGAAGTGCTAGGAATCTGCGAAAGCAGGTGGAATGGAAGTGGACTCTCTCAACTGTCAACAGGAGAAAAGTCAATAAATAATCTACTCCGATATTTTCACCCAGACGACACTACGAGCACACTGAGTTATGGAGTGGCTATCATGATGTCCCCAAGAACATCGACGTGTCTCATGCAGTGGAAGCCAGTCTCCTCCACCATCGGTATCATGACATGAAGGTTCAGCTCAAAAGGTGATGAGAACCGCATCCCAAACATTCTCAAAATGCCACTCAAAGTGTCCAGAAGACTCTGCAGTCCATGATGAATCCCAACTTGGAAAAATCACTAAATCCCCGCAAACCCCCAAATTAAACAATCTGTATCAATTGGTAAGTATTAACCTGTCAAGAAAACTTACCAGATATCGTAACCAAGTAATTAAGTGACTAACTATCTAACTGGAGAGAAAATATGAAATCTGTTAAATTGATGTGCTGGTTCATTTTTTTCAAGCTTCTTAGGATTATTTCAAATGAATATCAACATAAAGGAATAAGATATTTTAAGTTTCGTGCCTAAAATTTACCAAAGGTGGCCTATGAATAGGATAGTCGAGTGTTAGTCGGTTATAGCATCGAATTAATTGGCCACCGTTAACATATGGGCTCATGTTAAGAGACTTTGGTGTTGTCAGTAACTTCCTTTGATACACACTTTGATAACGCTCTGGTGTTTAAAATGAGAGGCATAGGGTTTGATTCTCGTTGGCAGCGACATCATTCAATTGAAGGTAGTTACACCCGACTGTCTTGTCCAAAACAGGGTTAGATGGACATACTTGATATAGCTGTTGGTCACTTTCCATCATTAGTATAAGCGAATATTGAGTATTTCGAAACGCAGACATCAGCAATACATCTTTTGTACTGATATCTCTTTTCTCAAATATTCCGTGTATCAATCTATCTAGCTTTTATCGACCATACTGAGTTATATCAGCAGTTATTATTGACCTTATGTTTTAGCGAAATGCCTTAGTCATATCGCCTGCAAACTTTTTTCATCAAACTCAATACTGAACCAAAAGAAGAAGTTTGAATAAATGGTGGTGGAACGCAGCTGTTTTGATCAACGCAGCTTAACATCAGTACATTTATGGCCTCGATATTGCCTATTCAGTGGTTTCATACAACATGTGATCAAACCAAATGTAATAAATATAAAACACACACCAAAAGTTATTATGCTTCGGTTAACTGTATTCAAAAGACTGCATGTTTTTGAGTACCTCAGTGTAATATGACAATACTGTTTAATTCAATCAAAGAATCTCCAGGGAGAATGAAACTCCGTGACTAAATAGAAGCAGAATAAGTTACTTTCTAAGATGATAGTAAGACCAATACTATCTAAGTTAATAGCCAGAAGTTAAAGCTGTTTGCTAAGTTAATCTCTTTGAATGTTGGTAGATATAATTCTTACCTTCTGCTGAAATACCGATGTAAACAGTTATATTAAAAATCGGTAACATGTTAGTGAATGCATATCGAAAGGATTTATAAATTACCACAGTATGAATGAGTCTTTTGGGATCATAACTTATGGAAAAATTAGTGAGAAACAAACGCACATGAATAAAGTTGGTTTCATCATTTGATAATACTGAATGCTCTAAGCCATAATCTTCAGGTCATCTTGATAGCAACAAGACATCGACAAAACAAACTTGTCTTACTTTCATATGTAGAACAAAGTTCATTATAGCGCTGGATGATTGAATACTATGACAAGAACTTTTTGAACTCAGATCTTGTCCCTTTTACTTTTCGTCATCCTGCTTTACCTGTAACCATAGACAAATTCTTACTACCTGGATAACTTAACCACCCTATTCAGTATTAAAACTAAGGGCATTAATCTCTGACTTATTCAACTCATAGACAACCTCCTTCAGGGGTAGATTCAACATAAAGGTTTATTACACTCTGATTTTCAGCTTTGATGTAAATCTAATGAAAGGACTTCATCTTCTTCAGCCAGAAGTAAATTCCTTGTAGTTGAGTTTCAACAATCACAAAACTCAGATCTAAAGCCTTTTGTTGACTTGACTGCAGTAACAATTGAACCAAAAGAGAATGTTGAAAAACCAAAAAACGGCATACAACAACAGCTAGATAATGATAAAACTTACTTCAACAGCATATCACATTTTGAACAACAGAAACAACGTTTATGCCATATATTCCCGCCAGCTTCCATCCTTTCAGCCGCGTAAACAGATTTATCGCAACGCACACACTTCTCTACTTTAGCCTTGATGGAAAAGAAATAGATTATATAAGGGTAATTGCTTGATTCAATGGTAGCAAAAAGATTTTCATCTTGTTTTATTGTTATCTCAACGGCCTAACACGACTTATGATCAAATTGTTTTACTTAACAATTTACTTCGTCACTTTTGAATGGAAAGTCAGTTAGGTCCTCCCCTGAAAAACTGTAAGGCTCAAACCTGACAAGTTCAATGTACAGTAAGATAATCCAGATAAAAGTGAAAATGATGATGAATAGTGTCTATGTGCAAAGTATGCTAACTATTCAATAGATAGTAACAAAGTGCTTGGATTTCATTATTTCTAATGAGAGGAGTTATAACTGGCTCCAAAGTAACTGCATCACAAAGAACTATACGCTGTGAATAGCTGAAATGTCTTACATGAAACGCTTCAGTTCACTTTGGGAAGAGAACATAAATTGACCAAATAAAAGAAGTCGTTATCACAGCAGCCATCAAGACAAAGTGGGAGATGCCGACCAACATCCCTGAAGAAACCTGTGTGGATGAACACTGGAACTCTTTGAAAGAGATGTGGAAAGAAACCTGCATAACCGTATTAAGAAGGAAGAAGAAAGAAGACAAGGAATGGATCTGGACGGACATATTGAAGCTGATAGGGTAGAGGAGGATGTTGAAGCAGAAGATAAAGCAGTGCAAGGATGCTCAACGAAAAGAAGAACTGAGTACAAGGTATAAAACACTGGACAAAGAAGTGAAGAAGAGTGCACCGAAAGACAAAAGACACTTCCACGACACATTAGCAAGTGAAGCAGAACAGGCTGCAGGTAGGAGAGACCTGACAACATTGTATCAAATAACCAGGTTACTATCTGGCAGGGAAGAGATCAACACAGATGAAACCAATACAAGATGATGAGGGAAATCTAATTACCAAGGAAGAGGAATAAAGGAAATGATGGGCTGACCACTTCAAAAAGCTCTTGAATCGACGACCACCTGAACTTCGTCCAGAAATACCACCTGCAGCCACAGAACTACAAGTGAGCACAAGCCCTCCGACGAAACTCGAAGTCCTGAGCGCCATAAAGTTGCTGAAATGCAGGAAAGCAGCAGGACCAGATGGAATCCCGTCAGAAGCACTGAAAACAGACGCAGAGACAACAGCAGACATGCTCACACCACTATTACAGAAGGTTTGGAAGGGAGGGAAGGTACCTGCAGATTGGAAGGGCTACCTGGTCAAACTCCCGAAGAAGAGCACTGGATTCAGGAAATACAAATCATGTGCAAATCAAATTGCAACGCTATGCATCATCATAGAACAAAGGATAGAATGGCAGTCAACCCTCTACCTCAACTTCATCGGTTTTGAAAAGGCCTTTGACAGCGTCGACCAAGAAGTAATTTGGCAACTGCGTCAACACTACGGAATACCACAAACCTTTATCAACCTCATTCAACAACTATGTGAAGACACCACATGCCAGGTGATTCACAATAGAAAGCTGAGCTCAGTGACGCCTTTGAAGTGAAGACAGGAAGGCGTAAGACAAGGCTGCCTACTATCATTTATGATATTCCTGATTGTAGTGGACTGGATCATGCAACAAACCGTGAGGAGAGAGAAAAGGGGGATACTCCGGACCGGGGAAAAGATCCTAGAAAATTTGGATTTCGCCGATGACTTGTGTCTAATGTCGCACAAACTCGAGGATCTACAGGCGAAAACTAACAAGTTGACGGAAGAGACAGCGAAGACGGGCCTTCAAGTGAGCGTAGAGAAGACGGAGATGATGATGATACCCAACCAACAACACCACCAACAACAACAAACTCCAATCACCATCAACGGGAGAAACTTCAAGGAGGTAGCCTCTTTCAACCTATCTAGGCAGCACTGTTTCAACTACAGTCGGCGGTTGCACAGACGAGGACATCAAAGTCAGGATCGGAGAAGCAAGACAGGCGTTCATTAACCTGAAATCAGTGTAGAGATCTACTGCACTCAGCATAAAGAACAAGAACTGGATTTTCAACACGAATGTCAAGTCAGTGCTTCTGTATGGCTCAGAGACTTGGTGCGTCACGGAAAGCATCTCCAACAAACTACACACATTCATCAACAGCTGCTGCCCACGCTCACTCGATACTGAAGATCAGATGGTCAGAATAATAAGAATAAGCAACAAGGAACTCTGGGCTAGCGACGAACCAACCAAAAACCTATCACCCAACAAATATGCACTGGAAGAAAGTGGGGATGGATTGGACATACACTGAGAAGGTCGACTGGGGACATCACGCGCCGGGCCATGCACTGGAGTGGGACCCAGATGGGGAACGGCAAATCGGGCGCCCGAGGCGAGGGTGACATGGATGAGATCGTGTGAGGAAGAAATGAGAGCTTGTGGGTAGTCGTGAAGCCAGGTTCAAAAGATTGTAGAGAACAGATTGGAATGGAGACGTGCTACTGAAGCCCTATATTCCACTAGGAACCCAAGGGACAAATAATAATAACAATAATAGAATGCTCTTAGTGGTAGTAAAGAATATTTCTGGTTAGGGCTGAGGATAATAATCGTTCGATTTTTACCTGGCTTTGGCGTTCGTTCATGAATATTTCGGCAATAGATCGGGTAACTTAATTCACAAAAAGTAAAGCATTTTCAGGTTGCAGGCTTTGAAAGCTGTTGGACTATGAGTAGAGACTGATTTTCTATACTCAATACAAGATACGAGTAATACAAAAGCCAGTACTACATGACAGTAGCTAAAAAAGTTACAAAATGATAAGTTCTTTCATATGTTTTGTAATAAAATATGTAATTTCAGGAATTAACCCCGGATAATAATAAACCAAGGGTAACTGCTAGTGATCTACATAGAATCTTAGTTAGATGGCGGTGATCGGCACACAGCCTTTAACCTAGGTTTCGTTACTTTTGACACTCTTCAGTAAGGTGTATCTGGGATCTCAACAGAATTGATGTCCCACCTCAAATCTGAACGCATATCACCCAGTTCTGCAGTCAGAAACGTTAAGACTCAGCCCGAATAACTCAGTGGTACAAAGATAACTTGTACAGGTTTTGTTCTCTGAAGAAGTGACTTCGATGTGGTCGTGAAATGTCGGAAACTTATTTTTCTACCTCGTTGAGATTTTACAAGTACTATCAAGTTTGTCTGATTTCTGTTCTAGAATAATGTGTGTTTTTCAAGTACTTTCATGCTATACACATGAAATGACCAGTTAGTGAACCGTAAAGTCTTATAACTTCGTATGACAAATCATTTTATATAACATCTTTATCAATACAGTATTTATGTTGTAATGATATCTTTCCTTTCAGGTTGAATAAATCTCTACCACGTTATCTTCTGTATTCTCATTTCATATCACTTGTTTTGGACCAACATGGTTATAACTGTGATACTATAATGTGTTCAGCGGGCACTTCATTCACACCACGTGACTAATGACCCTTCAAACAGTCGTGTATCTATCTTATCGAACATGAAAATAGTTATTACCATGCAGTCGCCTACCAGAAACAGACAACATCGCACAACTCAATCATCATGGAAAATACTTGGAAACAGTGAACTGTTTCGTCCCAGTCTCTTACTCCTTAGCTGTGTACAGTCGATACTCAGTGTGGGATCTAATTCAAGTTTTTTCCAGTGTGGCTAAGAAAGCGTTGTTTTTCAGCCACGGGTTGAAATTCAGCGTTCATACTTTCCAACTTCCGTTAGTTTGCGATAAAACGTCATTATCACCGAATGTCATCGTTGAGAATCCATCGCCACACTGAACCTGATTAACTTGACAGATCAAAGATAATCATTAGAATTTTGGAATAGCCATTTTGACATTGGTCACTAAATTAGCTTCTGCTTGAATCTCAGATGGGTGTTTTACGGGGAGCAAGTCAAATGATTTCATAATATCACTGATGAGCAACAGTACTGAATGATGGGTGGAAAATGTCAATAACCGAATCTCAACCCAGTGACTAGATGGTAATGTAAGGTTTAGGAGTCCCGGTTTCAGTCTCTTCTGAGGTGGTGGGCTCGAACTAATGAAGAATTACAAATTACAAAGAAAGATCTATCCAGTGGTTTAGTGTTTTTAGTAGTTTTCTAGCTGGGAACAATCTATGATAAAGCTACTTTGGAACTAGAAAATTTGGGCAGGACAATGCAAATGAAGCGAACGATTTGTCCCTTGAAAAATATCCCAAACAGAAATTTTTGGATTAGGATTGAAAATCAGTAGTTGGCAGTAGTAATAATCAAAAGTACCCATAAGTGTTGTGGAATGAAAAATACATGTCTCTACCGTTTTACTATTCCTTCTTCTTGTACCATAACGGAATAATATAAAGCTATAGAAATACATTGATTGACTCAGTTCCGTATAAATAACTGAATAACGAGATTGAATTCGCTATATAAGTATAGCGTATGACTGTAGGAAATGGAGTGTCAGGCATTTTCAATCGTTTAACAGGTGATATCTCAGTAAATAATTTGAATGTGTTTCCAGTGATTCTAGTAGGGTTTTATCCTTGATTTGTCGATTGATGAAAAATGCTTAATAATACATAATAATTGAGTGTTGTCCATAGCACCTAATAGTGGTAGGGAATGAGAAAGTGGGTAAGCTAAAACAAATGGTGGAACATTGGGTTTAAACACTTAGTAAGTCGTCAATCATACTATCTCAGAATACATCAATATAAAATGGAATTCTTTTCACTTGTAAATAAGAATCCATTAATCACACTTGCAAATAACGGAAATTAATGAAACGTTAAAAATCTGGCTATTATTTTACTATTTACAACGCCCTATTTCTAAAAGTACAGATGGAGTATTTAGTCCAGGCTAAACCATTAAGATAAATCTACGGATAACAAATCAATTCTTTTGAAGCATTGAATATGATTTAAAAATATTTCTTCAGAAATTCTAGGACATAAGTTTACTGACATGTAAATATTTGTGTTTTGGTAGAAAATATAAATCCTGCCTTCAAACCTACTTTTGAAATATCTACAGAGCGAATCACAGTGACCTTGGTTCATTGACCAATCAGAAGAATACTTGTCCACCTCCGTAATTTTGAAGAGAAATAATAAGTCTTTGGTTTTAAATCTGAACATTCTCTCTTTATCACAGTTTCGCATCGATTAAAACGACAAAAATGCCTTTCATACCGGTGAGTTACTACCTATCTCTATTTAGGTAATTAACCTGCCATTTAAAATCAGTTTAGTATTTTTAGTTATAGTTATCTGAGAAATTATGTTTGATGTATAGCGTGAATTTTATGATAAAATACATGTTTGATAGCAAGGAATTCTTGGAATCGATCACTTCTCTCGATATGTCACTAGCTACAGAATTACCTTCCAAAATTTTAGCTAGATATTGTAACTGAGTCTAAAGCTTACATTTTGATACCTAGTTTTTCTGAATGAGCCTGGCGTTCACCCGTTAGTCGATTAGACTTGATTTTGACCATTGTTTATCTCATGTTGGAAGAGTAAGCCACAGTTGTGACATACCATTTTGTTCAGCTTAAATGGCTATCACATTATCTGTGGGATCTGAAAATTTTAAAAATATCCTTTCACTTTGTTAATGTAACATTTGGTTCGAATAAATCTATAAGGTCATTAGGATATTATTAAAAGTTATTTTAAACGTTAGGCATTATTCATTATCATTCGACCATTCGGCATCAAATCTGACATCGGGAAAATGAAGGAATGTCCGTGGAAGCAGAGATGTCACGGATAATACAGAATGTGTAGGTCGAGTCAGATGGGAGTTCACAAGAATAATTTATTCATCCAAAGTGAAATCGACGGTAGATAAAACCAAATTTGAGTGAGTGGCTCGCGTAGAGAGCAAGTACTTCTAAACTGACTAAATATAATATATTTTTAGATGTCTAAGGATCATTCATATTCATCCCTTGAGAAGATATCAAGCATCCGAATTTCAGATGATGCTTCATCAGGTATTCACATATAAATGGAAGTAAATTGTTCACAGATTACGTTTCGTTCTACCTGACAGACATATAAGCCATCATCAAGTGCATTTTTTAGACGGGTAAATAGTTAACTTTAAAAGGCCTTATAGATTACTACATCTACCTCAGTTAAAAGTACTTTTCGTGTGTGTTAATACTGTTGTACAACTGATTGACTGACTGACTGACTGACTGACTGACTGACTGACTGACTGACTGACTGACTGACTGACTGACTTACAAAATCATCGTAGAACCTCATACACAGGTAGATCAACTCAAGTTGACACTACTCACAGTAGTACACATAAAACACGTGGATAGGAAAAGAGTGATATCAAAGTAGACGAAATAGTATGAGATAACGAGAAATTTCAAGATGAAGGTTAGTGCGAATATTCAAGCTTTAAAAGATGTCAAGAAGTTACTACACCAGCATCATTGTGACCGACTTTCAACTGTGTCACCAAGACTCCTGAACCACTGATTACTGTCGTCTTGGGAACCCCGACCAGGTAGTCTACAACTCCCATACACCGCTCAGGTCAACAACGACAGACTTTGTTGGCTAGCACCACGCCTCGGTATAGCCACCCTGAACCTTATTCCTATCTAATCCAACTGGCCCCACCAGTATGGCATGTCAAGGTAGGTGGTGGCTTGGATATGTACTGCTCATGTCAGTTGACTAAGGTTCACGACCTCCCCAACTGGACGATATTCTTGTAGCTGGTGAAAGTCATCCGAGTTTATTATAGGTAGTCATTGAAGCTACTCGTTTATTTGCTAGAATCAGTATCAAAGTCAGTCACAGAAATCACAAAGACTTGAAAGCACTTCCTATTGGGAATAAATTACTTTTTGAGGATCTTTTACCGCATATGAATACCCTTCTTTCAGTAATATCTTCTAAAAATAAAATTTTTATAACTGTTTAGTCCTATTTCACTTTTATTTGTAGCCATTGTCACCAGTATTTTTCAACGTCTGTTAGTTACAGCAAAAATATCCGTCATGTTTTAATCACTAATTTGAATGCTGTTTAAGTTTGTTTGCTAATTGAAATCAGTCGATTTGATATGACCATGAAATAGTTCACAATGTATACCACCAAGGGAACTTAAAACTATATGGGTCAATGTGTTCCTACAATCTACTACATGTCTTATTGGATAGTGTTTTCGTGACTATATTATACAGTTCGGTACAATATGACTAGTACCGGACATTTTTTGAATTACTACTATGAAAAATTAAACTGGAAGATGTTGTAACGACCCGAAGAAGGCAATCTGTGAAAGTGGGGTAACTTTAGAAACTGCCCTGGCAATTGTCACCATCTCAGTCTAAACAATTACTTAGAACTTCTGGTTTTCAAGAGTTTTGAAAGAAGAACAAATCATTATGGGTATATTTCACACATTTCAAGAGTTTATTACAGTAATGATAAGTCCTCCTATTTAACAAACTTCGACTTGGGACATACAATATGTTAATAACATTTCAAACTGTTGTTGGTGTAGTTGTTAGGACGATTTCTCTGGTCTTCCAGCTTGTCTTCTGTTGTGAGGAGTTTTAAGGCAGAGAATGATGAAATTGATTAGTTATAAGAAATGCTATCTACAAGATTAGTGGTGTGTTCACATAAGACTATAAGTCAAGTCATATGACTGCTAAGTCATTGCAGAGGAATATATGTAGTGTGTAAATAATAATGAATGCTTACCTTAGCATAGAGAGGTCTAACAACAGCTACTTCATCACTAGGTTGAGAAATGTCGGCTTCTTTAATCATTAACAAAGATATCTGAAAAGAAATTCATTGAAAGATCTAAAGTATTTTTACTATATTTTTTCCCTGCAAAATGAATGTTCTGCTTGAAATAGCCAACTGTAATGTCGTGAGAGACTTTAAAGGCCACTCTAGCAACAACTGAAATGAAAAACCAGGCATTAGTATTTCGCCTGGAAAAGTACTTATCTATGAAATAAAAGAATGTAATTGGTTGTCTCATAAGTTGCTAGGGTGGTCTTTAAAGTCACCCACTGTCCATTATATCATATGATAATTACAGGTTAAGCTAAGTGTTTTAATGCAAGGGTTCATCTACACTGTGTAGTTATTGCCTCCTATGGTTATGGAACGCGATAAAAGATATAGACCCTAAAAACACCCTATAAGTTTCCAATTATCCAGAGTGTTCAAAATACTTAGTGAATTCATGATTCTTGTACTACAATGGATCAATAAAATACACGAAGATAGTTTTCTTTTTGAACTAATTGATGTAGATAGAGATTTTAAAAAACAACACAATTATTGAGACTCACTCATCAAGCAATATTATAGTAAAGTGCTCATTAGGGATACTTCCAGACGAATATCCTGAAGATCTAATGAGAAGCCGTGGCCTGTGGGGTCAACCGGTTGGAAGAGAATTGGATGCCAGCTGAAAATCTCGGGTGGTAGTCTCGCTATATCACTAATTGACAGAAAAAAACTATGAACCATTGAATTCTGACCCAATGGTTGGCGCGGTCGTCTTGAGACCTGAAGGTCCCAAGTTTGACCCCTAGCCGAGTAATGTGTGCTGGTGTTGAGGAGTCCCATACTAGGACGAGGCAACTATCCAGTGCTCCCAGGTTTTCAATGGGTCTTCAACAAATGTCAGTTCGTGGTGAATGCTACCTTTAAAAAAATCCCCAATAACCTCAAAATATATTGTAATACTCTAGTCATTAAACGTACACCGCAAACAGATGCCTGTACTAACTCAAAAATTTTGTGTGTAGTGTCATAGACTTAGAAGCGATTGGCAGGAAGCTGTGATTAACCTATGTTTCAAATTCATTGACACTTAAGCAAGGCGTACCTGTAACCTACAGAGATTCGAAAACGCATCATCCAAACCCACAACCAGGGTTTCTTATCGACTTTACAACCATTTGACGTTAATCAAAGTTCACCGTGATACTGAATCGCCTAGCTTGTTGACCGCATTACAATATAGTCGATAGAATTGAGTCAGCACTAAGGACTAAGCAATATGAAGTCAGTTATTCTACAGTAAAAAACCTATTCATTTGTGTAGTATTCACATGAATTTTGATGCTATTTGGCTGGATGGTTTAGTCGTGAACATATTGACATTGATTCAATCTTTCAACTAATAAGAAACAACAAGAAGCTCAAATTCCAGGTCATCAGGACAACCATTCAAAATAATTATGGAAACGGTGACAAGGTCTCGGTAGAAAAAACCAATCACATACACGGCCATCAAGACAAGCTAGTAAATATGTTATGGAGAAAACTTCTTTCTGAAGTTGTTGTTGACGATATTGTCTAGAATGACAATGATAGCTCCACGATTAAATCATCCAGCTCAGAGAACGCAAAACTATCAAAATTATCCTTCTTAGCTACAAATATTCTCCACCATCTCAAATGAATTTAACCAACTATAGGTGTGAAGGCTCTCAGCCAATGAGTGATGCAATTACTCAGTTGTAGTAATTTGTCTACACAGAATATACATGCTACATTCTTATTAGCTCACGTACGTTTCGTTCATTTAATAGCTATTTATTACTAATAAGTCATATTTTATCCCCGCCTTATTTTAATTTTACCTGTGAAGTATGGTGACTAGTACGAAATTTGAAATTAATGTGAATACAAAATGAATATTAGATTTTAATCAAAGACAATAAATCATCTAAGCCTGATAATTAAGAAGTTATTTTATGGCTAGTGTCTTAGGTTTCTTTTGATCTATTTACTGGTTTTTCCTTAATTCTCTTGTAACAAGAATCATGGGCAATTATGAACAAAGCTTAAATCAGTTCAGCGTAAAAACCACATCCCCACTTAAGGAATATGTATGGAATAAAACTTGGGCATAATTCTATTTATCTCAGTGAATTTAGTAAATCAAATAGTCTGGAAATCATTTTCTTCATACATCAAACAGCTTTTTCTTCTATGAATGCTCTTAGACTAACATTCGATGTCTTCAAGGGAATCGATCGTACTCCATAGTCACCATATTCAGTCTAGAATATCGTGTAATGCATTGCTTTCATTTTCCATCTATGAAACACTGCGTTGATCCAAACAATGACTAGTGAAGAACCTAAAGATGTTAGGTTCGACCAATTGTCAGTCTACAAATCGG